GGTGGGTGGGAAAATCTCCATTTTCCGGCCTCTCCCGCGATCCAGGGTCCCCACACGGCAACCCCCAGAGCCCAGCAGCGCCCCCTGCTGGCCAACACCGAGCAACCGCAGGCTCTGCTCCTCCCCTGACCCAACAGCGCCCCCTGCTGGCCGGGATTAGAATCGCGCCAGAGGACAGAGAGGGATCAAACTGGTTCCTTTGTTTGAAGGGGACTTTTTGGGGGCGGGATTATTGTGAAGTTGGTTTTGTGTTCGTTTGGTGCTTTTGCCAATTCATAGAGATCCTTTCAGAAAGGGTTGTTATTTTTCTTTGTTCCATACTTTCTTGATTGGAGCCTCTTAATTTCGGATTTACAATTGCTGAGAGAGGGGAGTTTAGTCTCTCATAACTCGCCCTCCTTAGCAAAACACTTTCAGTCTCATTCAACTGAGACACCCAGTATGTTTGGAAAACTTATAACGCCTAAGTAATTAGTGGTAATTACTTAGAACAGCATGGTAATGAGCGTTTCGTGCCAGTGTTTTCCCAAGTGACTTCCACAGTGTGCCTGTCCCCAGGCCTAGCACTGATGAGGTCATTTTGTGTTCTTTAAGTGTCTGTTTAAATGACATGGTGTGTCCCATAGTCAACAAGGAGTCTTGCAGTGTAAATCCTTTCAAATGGCTAAGGATTTCCCCATATCCCCTTCTCTTTCACTATCCTCAGAGATTCACAGTCTCTTGCAGACAGATTTCTGAACTCTATCGAGCCCCAAACCTCCTGTGAGGCTCCAACTGCAATTTTTTTTTTTTTTTTTTTGCTAACTAGTTTTAAAACAGAACTTGATGCAGACGGTTGTGGAGAATTAAGCAGTGTTGGTACTTAATGCAGCTTTTCCAAAGGCAAAGCACGTACTTGGACAGGGCTTCTGTGCTGCCCTGTTGTCCTCCTGCTTGTGCTGCCCGAGAAAGGAATAAACTCCCCTGAGTGAAGAGAACATTCGCTGTGCTCTCAGAAATGCGTTGTTGCTTTCCATATGTGTTTTTTGCCATCTAGTGGCAGCAAATTCTTGGTGTACTGTTTGCCTCCTAATTTAACTTTCTACGCATGGTACAAAATTGTTTGTTGTAGGACTCCTCCATCAAGCAGCAAAGTGCAACTCTCCAGCCATGCTGCTGACTGTGCTGTTGTGACAAAGGGTCAGGAGACTAGCTGGAATGGTCAGGTTGGGAGAAGGATTCGCTGTCAAGTAAAACATCAGGCGTGCTCAAAATCAGTGCTTTTCTGAAGGTTAATGAGTTTTGAGTTATTTAAGCAGATATGATCATCTGGTCACTCATGATGTGGTCATATGGATGCCTCGTTGCTGATTTAGGGGTGTATCCTGAAAGGTAGCAAGTCTTATGAAGAACAACAGAGAGAAACGGTGTTTTTTAGCCTAGAAAAAAGGAGACTTGAGGGGAGACCTTATTGCTCTCTCCAGTGACCTGAAAAGGAAATGGTAGCCAAGTGGGTGTCAGTCTCTTCTCTCAGATAACAAGCCACAGGACAAGATGAAATGGCTTCAAGTTGCACCAGGGGAGGCTTAGATTCGATAGTAAGAAGAAGAACTTTACAGAAGGTGTTGTTATGCCCAGGGAAGTGGTTGAGTCACTCTCCCTGGAAGTCTTAAAAAGATGTGCAGAAATGACACTTGAAGAGATTGTTTAGTGGTGGACTTGGAAGCGATGAGTTAACAGTTGGACTTGATGATCTTAAGGGTCTTTTTCAACCTAAACAATTCTACTACGCTATGATTGTGGAGCCTCTAAAATAAAAAACCCTATTTTGATGGCAATGTGTGTTTCATGAGTGCCTCCCATCACAATTAGTCACTGTGGTTATTCTGGTCCCCACAGTGCCTGGGATCTAATAGGCAAGCTACCCATCCTGTTTTCATTGGGATAGTTTGGGTAACAGGTCCCTTTGTCTTGGCCTTGCTTGACATGCAACCACACAGCCTAAATATTTAATCCTCAAAATCAGCATTAGCCTCCTTTCTCCAAGACCACTTCCTTAAGATCTGCAGATGGTACCTCTGATACACCCACAGGGAAACAATCTCCTTGGTCACCTGGTGATGACTAAACCTCTCACTTGCTGTGATCACCCCTTTCTGTTTCTAGAAAGAAGTGCCACCCATGAAGCCCAGGGAGGCTGCACTTCCCCCTTCACTTCAGCAATCCCCTTCTCCCCCTCCAAAAACCCTGCAGTGTTGTCACTGACTAGAAGATGTATGACATCACTGCACAAAACCCCACTGGCCACACAGTAGTCTCTGTGACCTCTGATGTCTTCTGCCTTTTCTCTGTCTAAAAACCAAGGGGCGAAGAGTTCAAAGAACTCAGCACTGGAAGCAAAGTGCTTGTTCATAACACAGAATAGTCGGTGAAAGAGCGTTGACTTTCAAAGGATCCATGTCTTTTTTTGCATCTGGAGAGAACTAGGTGATCTTCAAAAGATTATTTGTAACACAAGTTTGTAACCATTTTCACAGCTACTTTAAGAACTAATGTTAAAAGGTTCTTAAGAGGCAGATGGTTGCTCTGGGAGCTGCATCACACATTCCTGTGAATATTTAGGAAGCTCTGCAACTGGGTTACTGGAAAGGCAAATCTACATTCATCCAACCTGTTTCACTGGAGCATTGCAACAGAATTTCCGCGTGCAAAATACTTTGAATGCCAAAGAGTTCAATCCTTCTAGAGTAGACTGTTACTAACAAGAGGCTGGGCTTTGTCACTGAACTGGTCATTTTCCTCAAACATGTGAGAAGGGCTGAGACCTCATCTCTGACTTTTAATTTAGTACAGCTTTTTGAACATCTCAGAGAGTTAATGATAAGCTCTTTCTGCAATGGTAGATCTCCTAACATCTCATGCAGTGACCAGTGGTAAACTATAGAAAAGCTCTTTCACAAATCTTTTCCCCCTAGCCAGATAAAAGAGAATTACTACTTTGATGAGAATAGAATCTGTAAAACATAAACATATTTCTGCCTCATGTTCAATTTAAACTTCAAAACCATAGAATTCCTTTAGAAACATTCCTATAGTTCAGAGGTAATATACACTCCCCCTATTTTCAAAGCAAATATGCATCTCCCGATGTTAATTGGCTTTGGATCTAAGGAGAACTTGTCAGAGGTATTACAAAACCTAGTAAAAATTTTCACAAACACAAAAACTTCATTCTACTAAGGACTGCCATCTAGGTGAACAAGTTTAGAAAACAATTAGCAAGGTTACTCTGGAATTTGTTTACATTATTAGACATCATCACTTATTTAAACCAAGACTTGCTGATTGAAGTGTCTGAGCTAATTAATAAAATCTTTGTTGTGTCCAGGCATTCATCTAAAAACAATGTTGGCTATTAGCTATGGAAGGATGTCTTCGTTGTTTGCTTTCTTTACCTTTTTTTTTTCCCTCGTTTTTCTGTCTTGGCTGGAGGTGAGGGGGGTGGGCTGGGCTGGTTTCTGGGTCTCTCTGCTGGCAGCGCTCTGCCCGCCCTAGTTCGAAGCTGCTCACTTGCAGTCCTGCTGCAGTGTGACCAATTCTATGTGCGTTCCATTGTTTAAGTTCAGCCACACACCTCCACCGGGAGAGAAGGAGACGCTTCTTCTGCCAATGCCGGGTCAGCTCTGGACTGCAAGCTTCTAAATAT